AAAGAAGAAATCATGGCAAAAGAACTAGTGGAAAACACTGAATTTTTATTTCTGCTGAAAGAAGTATATAACATAGGTTAAGAAGTTTGTATAACGTTTGAAAATATAAAAATATAATAATCAAATTTTGAGGATGAGGAAAGAATGAAAGTGTGAATACCTGAAAGTGCCTGCCTATTTTTCATCTGTTTACTTATCTTTATTTTTAAGAATCCAATAGGAAGCAATTAAACTTGGATAATTAAGAGAGAAGCTTATATGCATTATTTAAAACTATAATTAAATTATATGAAAGAAGAGACAGGCGTAGAAAAGGAAACTGAAAGATACAGTAAGAATTTTCTCATTTGTCAACTGGAACTGAAACGCCTAGTGAAAAAGAGGGGAACCCTGTGCTAGGAGTCCCCATAAACATGTACTGTAATTCTTTGTATATATGTAAAAAACTGTAAAGTTTAACTTTATTCTTAAAAAAAAGAATTTTCTCATTTTTCCCAAAGGGGAGACAGTACAGCCTGTCTACAATCAGTAAAGCAATAAAAGAAGTTAGGTATTTTGAATAATGGCATAAAGGCCTCCACTGGAAGAATTGAAAGCAAATTATAAACTTCTCAAATTGCCACAGGAAAACCATTCATACAACTACAATACCACAAATTAAGCAATTAAGGCAATGTTCAGACCAGTACATAGAGTTTTCTGGAAAGAATGGAAAGAAATTATTAATAGCAGTTTTCTTTGAAGACCATATTATGGAAAGTAAATGGAAGAGCAAAGTAGAAAGTCTTATAGATTTATGTCAACTTTTCCAACTATTTTACTAATTGGAAAATTTACCTGCATTAACACATTTTATTAAGTAGTGTACATTAATCACAAGAAAATAATTAATGTTAAGGTGTGTGATGTTTTGAAAAACTCACCAACCTTTATATCTACACTGCATATTTAAAATTTGCACAACCCTAAACTGTAATGTTCACCATCTACATTAAATTTATTACTAATGCTAATATATCATTATAATTTAGCATATACCACAAGAGCAATGAAAAAGAGAAGGGAGAAAAGTCCAAATATGACAAATACTTTACTAACTATGCTGGGTTTTTTATGCTGTTTTGTTTTTAATTTTTTCTTCTTTTTAAAAATATCACTTTTTTCATTGGAAACGAAAGAAAATCTAGTTAACAAAGACTAGAGAAACTAAGATTTTTTTGTTCACTGTTTAGATCAGAACAATTTCCTCATAGCCTGGGATTTAAAAGAAACTAAGTGCACAATGTAAAGTGCTATTAGGAAAAAGAAGATGAAAGGTCATTTGGAGACCAGAAAGTAGCATTTTATGATTTATAAAAATAGTGAGTGACAGCAAGAGATCTAATTCTTATATTAAATTAAAAACATGACAGAGGAGGTTTACAGAAAAATTTTGTGATAAAGTAAATTGTCAAGATTCAAGAATATCTGTGAGTAGAAAAGATTTCATGTAGAGAGATGATATGCACTCAAAATAAAAACTTCTTGGTCAATATTTCTGTAAATCAAATATAGATGTATTAACTGAGGATTTATTAAAAGCCTTGAACCAGGTTAGATATTTAATAAAGATCCAAAATTTATTTCAGAGGTGGTTGTACACATTCTGAAATCAGTACCTAATGGAGGAGGGATAGGTGAACTAATGAACAACGAATATATCTATGTCCCACAAAACTGATTGTCACTTAACTGACTTCATTATCTTATCTGAGATAAAATTGTTTCTACAGCTGAAAAATGGTATAAAATGAATTATTATCAAGGTAAAAACCCTTAGTACTATTTGAACTACCCAGAAAATAAAAAAGCTTTGGCCCAAAGACAAGAGCAGCCAGGCCTAGTAGACAGACCCAATTTGTGAAAGGTGATTATCAAGCTTTCTTAGCCCAGTGACACAAAATATTAAAATTGTGTAAAATCACCTAATTCATTTGGATCCCTGTTCACCAAGCTTATCTTTAAGCTCTAACTTTTAAGCATCTAATTTTTCAGGGAAAGAATTTGTTAGAAAACATATCTTGTTGGCTTTTATAGTCTCATTATAAAGAAAATATAAGTAATGGTTAGTGCATTAGCCTTTGAGACATTATTTAATCTGATGTCATTCTTGAGAAATTGAGTCATTCTTGGTAATTAGAAGAGCCAGATTTCTGATACTATAAGAGGAGAAGAGAGGAGGTATGGTTCAGGGGGCGCTTAAGGACAAGAACAGCACAGTGTACTGAGTTATCAAAATAAGGGTGCCATCAGGGGAAGGTCCCTGAGCCTCTGTACACTGTCCACACTGACCACAGTCAGCCACGCTATACTGCACATCCACCTCCCTCTAAATAAACTCAAGAAAAATTACTGGAAGTTAGACCTCAAGCCAAGTTCCATTCAAAGTAATTTTACAGTAACTCAAGGAAAGAAGAAAATTATAATAGGGAAATCTGAAAAAAAAATAGGGAGATCTAGTAATTATTGCTAGAAGAAGTTAATTATTTGACCATTACTTTAGCTCAGCACTGAGAGATGGATCCTAGGGTTAATATAAATTATTATTTTAATCTGCTATTATATTTTTAATATCTTATGATTATATATTTTAATCTCAAATTTGGTCTAATGTCTTCAAGGGCAAAATTATGTTTTGGAGTTTTAGTCCCTCTACAATTATTACTCCATTGCCTTTTATATAATAAGATGAATAAACTAAAGAAAAATCATTTTTAATTTTAATTTTACTTTATTCTGGGGTCCCAGCTTCCAACATTGGTCATTTCAACAATGTAGCTGATAAATTAACAACAGACAAACAACAACAAAGAAAACTCAAAAGACAACCTCTCTCCCTTCATTCCAAATCAAAACTTTACTTTCTAATTTCATCTGTAATAGATCTGTTGCTTATTTTCTCTACTCCCAGTTTTTCTGTATTCTCCATTCTTGTTCTTTCCTCCACTATTCTAGGCAAGCATTTTAATATATTTTACTTTTATAATTTTATTTTTGTATATTTCTTTTTATTATATGTAATATTGCTTTGGATATATTTATTTTCATCTTACATAAATTGTTCTGCACTCATACATCTTACTTTCTTTTGGTTTTTTAACTCCATTTTGTTTTTAAAGCCTACCTGTGTTGGTATATATAATGCCAATCAATGTAATCACTGTATTTTCCCCTTGACCTATTTGTGCTTCAGCTAATGAAAGTGGATAATAATAACTCTTGTGCTTGTTTTCGCATGTGATTATGAAGATGCCTATGAAATATACATGAAAATGTTTAGAAAGTATTAAAGAGCTCTCTGCACATCTAAAGTAGGAGGCAGAGGACAGTTGATGTGGCATCACCATGTTCAAAAAGGCCTTGACATCTGCTGACCACAGAAAGTTATAGGGAGCTAGCCATTTCCTGCAGATTGCCCCTAAAGTACCATGAACCAGATTGCAAACGTCCTTACTCAAATTGTGTTTCTGATAAACGGAACACTTGTGGTCATCATCAATTTGCAGTATAAGTTGAATAATGATCAGAATTCTACTTTTAAATCTAACTCAGAACAAAGAGGCTTAGATAATCAGCTGGTGGTGGAAAGGTATAAGGAATACTGACTGGGTTTAGTTACTCAAAACAAAATAATAGGTGCATGCACATCCCACAGAAGCCCTGTGCTTCCTGCCTTACATTCCTTTCCTAACTCTTAGAAAACCAGTACCCTATCATTTGGGGTGATTATTTCTTTATTTTGTTTTTTCTTTTTAGTTTTACCAAATCTATATTTACAATAATACAATACAGGGCCGGGCATTTAGCTCAGTGGTTTCACCGCCTGCTGCACAAGCTCAAGGACCCGAGTTCGATCCCCGGTACCAAAAAATAATAATAATAATAATAATAATAATACGATACATTTTAATGTTTGAGCATATAAATAGAATCACCTGTGTATATTTTTGTATATAAATAGAATCACCTGTGTATATCTTTCCACTGAGGTATAAGAATTTTCTGTGTCAATTACTGTAATTCACTTATATCATTGTTCTGTAACCTCTGTGTGTATGAATATATCATAATTTACTGAATATTCTGTTGAGAGAAGTTGTATTTTGTTCTTAGCTTTGACTGTTATGAAAACTTCCACTCTGAATATTATCTGTGATTTTCCTGGGACCCATGTGAGAGTTTCTAGGCTGCATTCCAAGGTCTTGAATTCTAGGCCATAGGACATGTGCATGAACAACTTTACTAAATACTGGCAGGCAATTTTCCAAAGTGTTTGAGTTATCAGACCCAAGTCCACCTCCTTGCCACACAACAGGCCAATTAATTTGAGACACTAGTTGTTGAGCAAGGAAGGCCACTTTATTAAAAACCTAAGTCGCAAAGACAGAGGACTCTTATCACAAGGCTATCTTGCTGGGAAGCTGACTTAGGAGTCGTTTACACAGGCAGGTGATGGGTATTCCAAAAATGGTGATGCTTTCTCACAGCAAGGAAAGGTGGATCTCAGACTGGGTATTGCTTTTTCACAGCAGGTGCACATCTGATAATAGTTATGAGATCCTTTTTAGTTCAGCTAATCTCAGAAACAATGGCTACTACTCCCTTGGTCTATTGTCACTGATTAGTTTCCCCACATGTAGTTCCTGATATTATACAAAGTACAGGTTAGAGTAGGTGGCTTATGAAAATAGAAACATATTTTCCACAATTCATATACTCATCAAAGTATAAAAATATTGTCTAATATATATATAGAATAAATTAATTCAAAGAAAAATTGTGTGTCAATTTAATTTGATTATTAAAGTTTGCATTTACAAGAATAACTATAAGTTGATGAGCTTAAACCTGTCTTGGTCATCGAAAAGACCTGTCATAAGAAACTGACCACCCGGGGGGAGTGCGTGGCCAGGTAACCGGCGCGGGCCCATGGCTGGTGTGCGGCCTGGGTTCCTGCAGGGATGCCCAGGCCTAACCAGGGTGCTGAAGAGGCAGATGCGAGCGGAAGTCCTTCGTAACCGATCCTGAGCGGGTAGAATCTATTAGGGGGTTCTAGGTGCATTGGGGTGACTGTCTGCTTTCACCAAGATGACACTCCACACCACCCGGGCAGCTGCACTCCTCTCTTGGGTAAACAGTCTGCGTGTGGCTGACCTAGTGGAAGCCATTCCACAGCTCCAGGACTGCAGTGTCTTCATCAAGATCATTGACAGCATCTGTGGCACTGAAGAGGGGCAGCAAATCCTGCAGCAGCCGGTGCCAGAGAGATGGGATTTTGTGTGCGGTTTCCTACAGAAAAATCGAAAACGTCCCTCTTCCCCAGAATGCCTTGTATCCATGCAGAATGCGATGGAGGGGTCAGAACTGGAACTGGCCAAGATAATCATGCTGCTCTTATACCACTCTTCCATGAGCTCCCTAAACCTCCGGGACTGGGAACAGTTTGATTATAGGGTTCAGGCCGAGTTAGCCGTCATCCTTAAGTTTATGCTGGACCATGAGGATGGGCTGAACCTGACTGAGGACCTAGAGATCTTCTTGCAGAAAGTGTCTGTCTCTTCCACCTGTTCCAGTACCTTCTCTGAAGACCTGTCCCCACCCAGCCACCAGGCCAAGAGGGAGGTTCACTTCCTAGAGCTACAGAAGGTTGCTTCCTCTTCCAGTGGGAACAACTTCCTCTCAGGTTCTCCAGCTTCTCCCATGGATGACATCCTGCAGACCCCACAGTTCCAGATGAGACGACTGAAGAAGCAGCTTGCAGATGAGAGAAACAAGAGAGATGAGCTGGAGCTGGAGCTGGCCGAGCACCGCAAGCTCCTTACCGAGAAGGATGCCCAGATATCCATGATGCAGCAGCGCATTGACCGCCTTGCTCTGCTGAACGAGAAGCAAGCAGCCAGCCCTCTGGAGCCCAGGGAGCTTGAGGAGCTTCGAGGCAAGAATGAGTGCCTCACTTTTCGGCTACATGAGACTCTGAAGCAGTGCCAGGACTTGAAGACGGAGAAGGGCCAGATGGACCGCAAGATTAACCAGCTTTCTGAGGAGAATGGGGACCTGTCCTTTAAGTTGCAGGAGTTTGCCAGTAACCTGCAACAACTCCAGGGTGCCCTCAATGAACTGACCAAGGAGCACAGCAAGGCCACTCAGGAGTGGGTGGAGAAGCAGGCCCATCTGGAGAAGGAGCTCAGCACAGCCCTGCAGGACAAGAAATTCCTTGAAGAGAAGAATGAAATTCTTCAGGGAAAACTTTCACAGCTGGAAGAACGTTTGGCCCAGCTGCCAGAGAGCCCACGCCAGGAGAACGGCGAGGTGCTAGGTGATGTCTTGCAGCTGGAAAGCCTGAAGCAAGAGGCAGCCACTCTTGCTACAAATAACACCCAGCTCCAAGCCAGGGTGGAAATGCTGGAGAATGAGCAGGGTCAGAAGGAAGCCCAACTGCTGGGTGAGCGGAGCCACTTCGAAGAAGAAAAGCAGCAGCTGGCCAGCCTGATTGCTGACCCGCAGAGCTCCATCTCCAACCTGAGCTAGGCCAAGGAGGAGCTGGAGCAAGCCTCTCAGGCTCAAGGTGCCAAGCAGAATGCCCAGGTAGAAGAGCTGAGTAAGAAGCTGGCTGACTGTGACCAAGCCAGCAAGGTGCAGCAACAAAAGCTGAAGGCTTTCCAGGCCCAGGGGGTTGAGAGCCAGCAGGAGGCACAGCGCCTCCAGACCCAGCTGAATGAGCTGCAGGCGCAGTTGAGCCAGAAGGAGCAGGCAGCTGAGCACTACAAGCTGAAGATGGAGAAAGCAAGACCCATTATGATGCCAAAAACCAGCAGAACCAAGAGTTACAGGAGCAGCTGCAGGCCCTCAAGCAGCTGCAGAAGGAGAACAAGGAGCTGTGGGCTGAAGCTGAACGGCTGGGCCAGGACCTGCAGCAGGCTGGGCTGAAGACCAAGGAGGCTGAGCAGACCTGCCGCCATCTCACTGCCCAGGTTCGCAGCCTGGAGGCACGGGTTGCCCATGCAGACCAGCAGCTTGGAGAGCTGGGTAAATTCCAGGTGGCGTTGGATGCCTTAAAGAGCCGCGAACCCCAGGCTAAACCTCAGCTGGACTTGAGTATCGACAGCCTTGATCTGAGCTGCGAGGAGGGGACCCCACTCAGTATCACCAGCAAGCTGCCTCGTACCCAGCCAGATGGCACCAGTGTCCCCGGAGAGCCAGCCTCACCCATCTCCCAGCACCTGCCCCCCAAGATAGAATCCTTGGAGAGTTTCTACTTCACCCCCATCCCTGCTCGGGGCCCGGCTCCCCTGGAGAGCAGTCTGGACTCCCTGGGGGAACCCTTCCTGGACTCAGGCTGAAAGACGTGCTCTGCTGGAAGGTGTACCACGCAAATCATCAACATCACCATGACCAAGAAGCTAGATGTGGAGGAACCAGAGAGCGCCAGTTCATCTTTCTATAGCACTCGGTCTGCCCCTGCTTCTCAGGCCGGGCTGCGAGCCACTTCCTCTACCCAGTCTCTAGCCCGCCTGGGCTCTCCAGATGATGGCAACTCGGCTCTGCTCAGCTTGCCCGGCTATCGGCCCACCACTCGGAGCTCTACTCACCGCTCCCAGGCGGAGATGTCCAGTGGAGCCCCACCAGGAAGGAACAGCTTCTACATGGGCACTTGCCAGGATGAGCCTGAGCAGCTGGACGACTGGAACCGGATTGCAGAGCTGCAGCAGCGCAACCGAGTATGCCCCCCGCACTTGAAGACATGCTATCCCCTGGAGTCCAGCCCCTCCCTTGGCCTGGCCACCATCACAGACGAGGAGATGAAAACCGGAGACCCTCAGGAGACTCTGCACCAAGCCAGCATGCGGCCAGGCCAGATTGCTGAGGGTGCTGGTATCACTACCCGGCAGCAGCGTAAACGGCTGTCGTCAGAGACCCACCAGGGTCCTGGCACCCCCGAGTCTAAGAAGGCCACCAGCTGTTTCCCACGCCCTATAACTCCCGGGGACCAACATGAAGGGTGCAAACAGAGCACTACTGAGACCCAGAAGAAAGCAGTTCCAGCCGTTAAGCAGGCTGATCGGCGCCAGTCAATGGCTTTCAGCATCCTCAACACACCTAAGAAGCTGGGGAGTAGTCTTCTTCGGCGAGGGGTCTCAGAGAAGGCCCCAGCCAAAGCCTCCCCCAACACCGCTCTCCACGCATTGCTACCTCCACAGCCAGTGCCGCCACCGCCACTCCTCAGGCCAGGGTCAAGGCAAAGCACTAAGGGCCAGTAGCAGTGAGAGGCTCCACCTGTGTCCCCAGTGTTGACCTCGCCTGGTCCCTTTCCTTCTGTCCCTCTCAGTGCCTTCTCTCAGCTTCCAGGCCAATGGGGGCCAAACCCCTAGAGACAGTGATGCCTACCCACACCCTGGCCTGGTACCTGGACCTTCACTGGCGCCTTCTGTGGCACGTTCCAGAGCTGGCCCAAGAGGCTTGGAACTTGGACAGCATGGGACCCTCTCCCTCCCTTGTCTCCTGATCTTACCTTGGAGCTAAGTCACTTCTCCATCATAACCAGATTTGAGGCTGGCTATGAGTGGCTGGATCCTTGGGCCCAGCCAGTCTTCTTCTCAGCCTCTGGATCTAGAAGGGACCACTGGAGGAGCAGGCTCCGGTTCCTGCAGCTGGTGGCTTGGCCTAGCAGAGGCCCTTGCTCTTGCAGCCCAGGATTGGGCACAACCTGATGTGAGCCCCTGTCCCATCTGCTCCCCTCCACCCAAGGACACAGCTGCCCAGAAGATGGCAGGACAGACAGGTCCTGGATCTCTGGGGCAAGAGGGGCAGCCTTCAACAGCAGCTCATACCCCACCTTCCCCAGAACTGCACTGGGGTGGGATTTGGAGTAATGGGAAGGTTTTTAAGGGCTGGGGATGGATCTTTTCTAAAATGTTATTACTTGTAAATAAACTCTATTTTTCTCCCTGACCAAAAAGAAAAAAAAAAAAGAAAAAAGAAACTGACCACCCCAAAAGCAGATTAAAATAAACAATTGAAAATGTTTTTTCTTTTTCAGTGGTATTATATTAAAATAAATAAAGTTCCATTGATATTACTCCTAAAACTTGGCAAATTGTCACTTATAGAGTTTTTATTTTTTGAGTGAAGAACTGAGAAATAAATTTAAGGCTCTTTACTATCAAATAGAAATTGTGTCATTTTCATCTTAACAACTGTCATCACAGTGTTATCATCAATTACCTTCCCAACAAACTTCACAGAAGCATAGGTTAACCATTTTTCTTATTCATAATTTGTTTGTTTATTTTTCCTATTATCAATTGTAGAAATTTTAAGTATTACTGTTTGGTTCATTGTTGAGAGACGTGACTAAATTTACATGCAAAAAATTTATAAGTAATAGGTATTAGAATCTTCTTGAAGAGTAATCTAAAATTTTATCCCTTTATCACTTTGCGATTTCCAACTATCATATTTCTTGCAGAAATCATTAAACTTATTAATTTGGTTTGATATCACAAGTTCATGCTTTCACATTTTCTCTTATTTTGTCTAATGTACAGAAAATACAGTGATACATTTTTTATGTTTTATTACTTAGTCTGCTCTTTTAAAAAAATTGTTCTGGTTGGGGATGTAGGCTGGGAATGTCCATAGTAGTAGAGCACATGTTTAATATGTTCAAGGTCCTAGGTTTAACACACCACACAAAACTAAAACAAAATGAAGCAAAACAAAAAAACAGTTTGCTGAGAATACCAAATGCAATATAAAAGATCATTAAGAAACAAATTTACCCCTATGTGGTCAACATCTTAATATGGTTAAATGAATTAGTATTAATGATTACATCTCCATCACTTCTACTAAATGGTTTTCATTGTCAAAACACCATATAATCACAGAGTTCATGATAAGCTAGAGCCCAGCTCTGTCCAGGGCCTGAGCATAGTCCCTCAGGGATGATAAGTGTTGATAGATCTCTGATGATAGGGCCTCATAAATGTCAGAAGCAAAATCTATCTATTTGTCTGTCTATCTCTGCTCTATGTGTGTAGCTTCACTATTAAATACATCTGTTTTGAAAAGAGCAATTATGTAATTATGCCTAACTTTGTGATTCCATTACACATTTTCCATCCAAAGCACAGCAGTTATCACTCATTCTATATTCCAAGTGAAGGAGTGTGACAGAAGAATATATTCTTTAAAAGGTTTGCATTTTTCATAACACAAGATCTCAAAATCTATCACTTGCTTTCAGAAAGAATAGCACCAGAGAAAAAGAAGAAAATAGTTCTTCAAAACTAAATTTTCTCCCACAGTACACTCCAGGAGTGTGCACTTCTAATCCTTTGTAAATTTACTCCTGAGCCTCTGAAGATCTTTATTTCCTGCAACTTTCCTAATATTGATGCCCAGTGGTTATTTTTAAAAAATACAGCCAGTTACTTCTGCCCTTCTGGTTTAGGTACCCAATCATTAATTCTTGCTGTGAAGAATAAGAGACAAAGGGGAACAAAATGCATTATTGGGTTCACCTCAGGAAGAATTTCCTCTCCTGTACAGAAAGAAAACAGAGGATTCTGAATGTTTAAACATCCTCCGAATTCAAATGGAGTTACAGTTTGCCTCTGCTTGTCAATGTCTCGGTTGAGCAGAAAGTGCAGAGCCTGCACTGCATGCAGAATGGGCTGTGAACCCCTCGACTGGCAGGCAGACAACCAAGCATAGTGTTTTAGTGCCTTCTGGTGTTGGTGCCTAGAAACGCAGTTGGCAAAATTTACACCATGTTTAGTATGTGACATGAACTGATCTTTCTCATATCTGCAAAGAAAGATCTATCATAATTGACAGATATGAATTAAAACATTTATTTTTGAAAGAAAATGAAATCTGAACAACAGCTTTGTAATCTCTGGACCATCTTATTTCTATTCAATATACCTAGTGTTTCTATGCAGAAAAGATTTTGAACAAATACAATGCAGAGCATACTCTCTCTAAAACTGTGCTAGATAAATAAGTATAGAGAAAACTTCCAATTTATTTGAGAGTTCTTTTACATTTTAGTTTTTTGTAGAACTATTAACCATATACAATCAAGAGATTAAAGTGAGCAGAATTACTTCATACATTTTTAAAAATTGTTTCTCCGTGGCTTTTGTTATTTCACAGATAGGAAAAAGACTCTCAGAAAATCCACTTTAGAAATAAACCACTAAAATAAAAATAAAATGAAAGTGGTTTGATTTGTCTTTTCACAGGATTGTTAACTGCCTGAATGAACATTTTTATACTCTGAAAAAAAGGTTTGGAGAAACCACCAAAATCGAGTTAATGCTAGAACTAAACAGGCTGAACTTACATAAAAGAGCAAAGTAAACACGTCATAGTACAGTGAGGATCCATTTAGCTAATGAGTTTTTCCAGTGAGCTAAGGAGTAACCTTATCAAACCTCTAGAAGGGGTCAATTATACACCTTCTTGAGTATCTTTAGGATCATACTGACGTAAAAATTAAAGTCCTGCCCAGGAAAAACATACACATTACAAGCAAACCAATTTCCCTGGAAAGATGTTCTAAAATATTTAAAATGCTCTATAATATAAAATTTATCCAAATCAACATGCTACCGAAAAAAAACACTAAAGTTAACAGCACTGTCTAGAATCTGATCATTAATAAGTTTGAGAAATATGAGTTATTATAATATCCCTAGGCCTTATAGTCTATTTCAGAATGCAATAACTTATCTTTACTATGTAAAATAGGCATGACAATAATTATCTACTCATCATTGTGCTAAGAAAGATCATGTTTAACTTTCTCTGATGTGCAATTTGAATTTAAATTGAAAATTTAAATTCAAAGGTTAGAAAATAAAAGCTTCTTGACTTGGAACCTGAAATGTCACATTTGTTTAGCTTTTAATCAAGTAAAGAACAAAGAAATTACCAGTTCTTTATTTAAAACAATGTAAGCCATGGTTACTTTTAAGACATAACTATTTTCTTACGGTAATTGTACTTTAATTTTCACTCCCTCTCAGGGATGGCATCTGAATGCATGGGGATCCTTACGCATAACCATGGCAGAATCTCTTGGATCTCTGCACCAGACCCTGTCCTGTGCTCCAAGCCTCTACTCAACATTTTATCTCTTCCCAATATCCAATATCCTTTTCCTCCCTGGTCACTGGCACCTTACAGGCATCCACTCACACAATAGCTATTGACTGGTGGGCTTCTCTTTTAATGCCCTCAGAGCCTAGTGACCCATCATGACTCAGCCTACCATCTCTCAGCCATATCTTCATGTTCAGTCTAGGCCATGCACTTTTGTCTCTGACCTGAAGTCACACTGTTGAATTCTAGAGAAACCCTCTAAGAGTCCTGCAGGTTACAAACTCAGACTTCTTTCCATATCTTATTAGAAATTTCTAAACCCTCTGTAGGCTACATGAAAACTGTAGATGACTAAGCATAAAAGAACACTACTTCTACTTGTTTTTGTTTTTTTTACCTGAACACATTACCACCACTTTCAAATACTGTGGCTGCCCTATTGCATACCGAGCAGTGATCTCTCCCTAGGTTCCCGAATGTCAACCTAAGTACAGTCCTTGTGCAGGCTGTCTGAATTCCCTTCACCCATCCCTCTCTTCCATGAAAGATTTCTACATTCTCAATAACAGTAACTTCCCTTATGTTAAAATCTCCTCCTACCCCAAGATCATGCGCGCGCACACACACACACACACACACACACACACACACACACCACTCTTGTACTTCATTGGCACTAAAAACAATGGCAAGTAAGCAAGGAGAGAAATTCGGTCACCCATAGGGGAGAAATATCTAGATTTGCATCTATTCAAATAAGTGTATCAGTTCAGCACTCCTACATATGTGCTAGACATTGTTGTACACAGTGTAAGGAAGACTAAGCTATTTATTCTTTGTGTCTGATTTTTTTTCTTTTATTTCTCCTTGTAAATGAATTTTCTATGAGTGCCCATCCAAGGCCTTTATGTGACTTCTTTTAAATATTCTTTAAATATTAGCTCAACCTCCATATTGTGTTGGCATAGGAAACCTAATTTATATTAGAAAAAATCATCTAGATCTTTCTTTGTGTTAAAATGAAAGACATTATATTTATGAATGTAATGCATTTTTACTTATTTGGAATTGTGTATTTCTTGCAGTTTTCATGGCACAGTAACATTAGTCACTCATATTTGCTAGAGATCTAGATAC